TAAACAAGCATTTATTGAACACCTACTAAGCGCTAAGATCTGAGCTAGGCTCTGGAGATGCCACAGGGAACAAGGAAGACACAGCCCTTGTCTCTTTGGAGCTCCAACTGTGACTGGTGGAGGGGGGGGGGTCCCAATCCTGGTTACATTTTAGACTCATCTTGGAGCCTTAAGAAGAATCCCCGTGCCAGGGCTCCACCCCCAGAGATTCTGATTTACTTGGCCTGGGGTGGGCCTGGGCATGGGTATTTTTGAACAAGCTCTCCAAGTTATTCTAATGTGCGATGTGAGTAGGTTGAGAACCACGTCTAAGGGGTGAGACAGCAAAAATCTCACAAACGCAAACCAATAATTGGGATTGTGCTTTGTTAGGAATGAATGGGATGCAGAGTGAGGAACCAGCGGAGTGGGGTATCTGCTACTTGCTCTGAAACGGGAGGGAGCGAGACCACACTTGGAGAACTGTGATTCCAGGGGTCAGAAGGAAGGAAGGAAGCATGGAGTGTCCTCATGTGGGACAGCAATGGGATCTTCTGGGCCACGTCCCACCCTGCAGATGCAGAAAACCCTGCAGTGGAGCCCTGTCTAGCAGAGGCTTTTAACCTGCAGCCTGAAAACTCCCCCTACCGCCTACTCAAAACACCGCCTCTTTACACACAGTGTTTATGAGTGCCCCCCAGGCCCTCCAGCTTAAAAATCCCTCACATTTTTAGACAGTTAGTAAAGCATTGTCGGACTTATTTATTTATTTATTTATTTTGAGACTGAGTCTTGCTCTGTCGCCCAGACTGGAGTGCGGTGGTGCAATCTTGGCTCACTGCAAGCTCTGCCTTCCAGGTTCAAGCGATTCTCCTGCCTCAGCCTTCCGAGTAGCTGGGACTACAGGCGCCCGCCACCACGCCCGGCTAATTATTTTGTGTTTTAGTAGAGACGGTTTCACTGTGTTGCCCAGGCTGTTTGCGAACTCCTGAGCTCAGGCAGTCTGCCTGCCTCGGCCTCCCAAAGTGCTGGGATTATAGGTGTGAGCCACCGCGTGGGCCACCAACCCCAGCCACCAACTTTTTATCTGTATTATTGGATCCTAACACTAACCTCATGAGGCAGGCAGGGCCAAGGTCAATGTTCCCCTGTTGGAGATGTGGAAACAAGCTCAGAGAAGTCACACACGGCCTGAGATCACATGGCTAATACCTGGATGTGGAGGACTTCAGGCTAGCTCTCTGGCCTCCAGCTCCACTACCCCATGTGGCCCCCACCTTCCCTGCACCAGCAAGCTGCAACTGAGGCAGGGCACCCGAGAGGCAGCTGGGGACCAGCACCTTCCCGTCACGCTGGGCAGAGCTGCTGGTGCGTTCTCCCCTTCAGCTGTGATGGCTTACAATCCCGCTCCTCATCAGGCAATCAAAGGAATCTGTTACTTGTTGCTTCCCTTCCTGCCCAGAGTGAACCCAGTTACTATAGTAACCAGATGCAATTCTTTATTACAGAGTAGATGGTTTTAATTTTGCATTTGAAGAATTTGGCCAGGCAGTCACGTTGCCATGGCTTGGCCTGTCGGGCGGCAGTTAGAAGCAGAGGGAACCCTTTGAACAGCCATTAGGGCTTTCCAATTGCTGGGGGAAACCCGTGTCTGGAAAAACCCAGGCTCAGCTGCACTGGGGAAGGAGGAGGGTGAGTCTCCAGCTGGTGCTGTGCTGGGTACTGTCTCCTGTTCAGAAATGACAGCTCCCTGATCAGAGCCACCAGGTGAGCCTCTCAGCCAGTTGCTCCCACAGTCCCCTCTAGTTTCCCTTCAGGATCCTTATGGGTGGGTCGGTGGGGGGCTGCTCATAGGGCCTTCAACACATGTTTGTTGAATGAATGAATGAATGAACAAATGATCCTTTGTAGTTTATTAAGCCCTGTCAACCCATTGTCTCCTCTGCTCTCCATTATGGCTTTGTAAGGGTACACAGCAGGGAGAAAGAGAAACTGAGGCTCAGCAAGGTGAGAGACTTGCCTCCTAGTGCTGCCTCCCCCGCCCATGCCTCTCAGGGCCCACTGAATTGCCTGGTAGGTTCCCCTTGCTGCCGAAACATATCACAGGTAGATGCTAAAAGCAAGGCAAGCATCGCCCGCCCACCCCACACCAGGCCTGGTACCATAGGTCCTCTCCTGGGTCCTCGGTTCCTGCTGAACTAAGGAAGGCAGCAAAATGGGGAGAGAAAGCTGCTTGGTGACTAACTTTGAAACAGAGCAGAAGCTTCCTTCAGCCCAGACCATCAAGGAGACAGTTGGATGGACAGAATAAAGAGCCCTTCATTCCCTGATCTCCCTGTGCAAGGGAGGAAAGGAAGGCTTCACTTGGCTTTCAGCCAGACCCCACAAATCCACGCTGATCCAGTCTCTCTGTTACTCTTTCTGTGCTGAGGGTGTATTTCCACGTTAAGTAAAACCTCCACCCAACCCTGGCCTCAACATTCATTTCTCCTAACCCAGCCTAGTTTCTTCCAGCCTTGCAGCTCAGGCCTTCCCAGGATGCATGCGTGGGCTGCTCTCCTGGCCAGGAGGTGCTGGTGTTGGTGCCCTTCATCCTGAGCTCATGTTAGGCCACAGGACCCTGCCTGTCTCCTGTTTAAAGGCAAACATAAGCAGCTTTGGAGAGCAGCAGCTCTCTGTGGCTATCGGTGGAGCAGGCAGCATATGAGGCTGGAGTCTTGAGTGGGATGTGTTTGTGGATGAGCTGGGACAGGCATCAGCCAGATCTGCTGGAGGGCCAAGGGCCCAGTAGAGAGAGGGCATAGTGTGATGATAAACACTCCACTACCTCCCAGAAGTGAGGTGCCTGCACAGGAGGCCCACACCGAACATATGCGCGGATCTCAGGCCTCACCCTCCAAGAATCAAATCATCTGAGCTGGAGGAGACCTTACAGGCTTCTCATTTCAGTCTCAGATGAAGACTGAGGCCACAGAGCGGAAAGATGTGAACTCCGTTTCGCAGTCATCAAACATGATGGGACTCCACAGTGGGACTTACCCGAAGACAAAGGCTGGGCACACAGCTGGTGCTCAGTCAATTCTTGTGTGAACAGCCATCCTCATGAGGTGACAGCAGGAAGCATCTTCGTGAAAGGTTAGGGCTAGAAGGAAGCTTAGACATCACTTAGTCCAACTGTCATTTTACAGAAAGACAGACCAGATCCATTAATAATGCTAAAACTAAGAATAGCTAATAGTTACATAGCATGTTGGGTGCTAGGCAGGATTCCATGCATGCTGCATATACGAACCCACTGCAGCCTCACAGCGGCCTCTGTGCAGCAGCTATTATCATCATCCCCAGATGAGGTCACTGAGGCATAGGGCGGTTCGATAACTTGCCCAAGATCGTGGAGCCAGTAGTGTTAGGATCAGGCAGTCCGGCTCCAGAGTCCGTGCCGTGAACGCTTCACTGCACTGTCTGAGAGCGCAGTGCTACCAGCAAACACTTGTGCTCCCTTCTCTGAGTGGGGAGAAGGAATCTGTGCCAGCCCTTGCGAGTTCACTCATGCGGGAAACATGACTTTTTCATCTTCGCATCCCCTTCCAGGGCTCAGCTCAGGTCTGGCAGGGGCTCAGGGATGTGTTTTTAATACAAATGAGTTGATCTTTCTCACCATCGTGAAAGAGCCAATTTGGCACCTGTGTGCTGGAAGGGACCTTGGGAAGTGGCTCAATATAGAACACTTGTGGTCAGCAAAAAGGAGGGGGTGGTTCCCACATACCAAGCAGTTCTCCAGTGGCCACTGGCTGAGTGTCCTGCAATATAACTCAACCCTGACTGTCTGCCTGGAGTTAGTGTTGGCTCCCATGGGTTGAGGGCTCAGTCCCACCACATTGACCCCACTTGTGACGCCAGTCACCAGCCCCAGGCTGTTTTACCTGAGCCTCTGACCAAGTGGCTATAAATCAAGGGTTCCCAGGACGCCCTTCTCAGGTTTTCATTAATTTTCTAGAGCAGCTCACTGAACTCAGGGAAACACATTTACTGGTTTATTATAAAGGACCTTACAAAGGATTCAGATGAGCAGCCATATGGGTGCGAAGCAAAGGGCAGGGCGCATGGGAAGGGGTGCAGCTTCCATGCCCTCTCTGGGTACGGAACCCTCCACGTGTCCAGGGACCTCCATGTGTCCAGCTATCTAGAAGCTCATCGAAACACAAAGAGGGGAACGATAGACACTGAGGGTGGAGAGTGGGAGGGAGAGGATCAGAAAAAATAACTATTGGGTACTAGGCTTAGTACCTGGTTGACAAAATCATCTGTACAACAAGCCTCTGTAACACAAGTTTACCTATATAGCAAACCTGCATATGTACCCCTGAACCTAAAATAAAAGTTAAAACACACACACACACACACACACACACACACACAGTCTTTTTGGGATTTTATGGAGGTTTCATTACACAGACATAATTGATGACATCATTGGCCATTGGTGATCAACTCAACCTTCGGGCCCCTCTTCCCTCCCAGGAGGTGGTGGGGTGAGGCTGAAATTTCCAGCCCTCTCATCACCAGATTGGTTCCCCTGGCAACCAGCACCCATCCTGAGGCTACCCTGGATCCCCACCTCCCACCCCAGCCACTAGTCATCTCATTAGCATACAAAAGACACTTATCACTTTGGAAATTCCTAAGGTTTTAGGAACTGTGCCTAAACCAGGATAAAGACCAATTATATGATTTCTTATTATAAATCACTATATCTCAGGAAGTGATTTGCAGAGGAGGAAAGTGAGGCCTAGAGAGTCAAAGTGTCTTAGCCAGGGCCTCCCAGCCGGACCTGAATCCAGGTCTCCCTACTCCCCATCCAGGGCTCTTGCCACACAGCAAGGCCCCCTAAAGAGCAGGCTGAGGTGGTCAGGCTGACCTGAGCCCGGGAGCCTGCCCCAGCCTGCCCCACCTGTCCTGTCTGGGCCCTGCTGTGCGCTTCCTGGTCCTGGCCACACTAATGGACTCTCTGCCCCCACCAGCTCTTCGTGATCGACAATGGCGCGGATGACTGGCGGATAGCCATGACCTACGAGCGCATCCTCTACATCAGCCTGGAGATGCTGGTGTGCGCCATCCACCCCATTCCTGGCGAGTACAAGTTCTTCTGGACGGCGCGCCTGGCCTTCTCCTACACACCCTCCCGGGCGGAGGCCGATGTGGACATCATCCTGTCTATCCCCATGTTCCTGCGCCTGTACCTGATCGCCCGAGTCATGCTGCTGCACAGCAAGCTCTTCACCGATGCCTCGTCCCGCAGCATCGGGGCCCTCAACAAGATCAACTTCAACACCCGCTTCGTCATGAAGACGCTCATGACCATCTGCCCTGGCACTGTGCTGCTCGTGTTCAGCATCTCTCTGTGGATCATTGCTGCCTGGACTGTCCGTGTCTGCGAAAGGTATTCCACCTGGGGCCTTCTGAGTGCAGAGTCTGTGCTGGGACAGGGAAGGGAGGAGGAGCAGGGGTGCCAGGAGGTATGTGGTCTGATGGAGGAGACAGGCATGTACCCAGACACCTGAAAGGAGACAGTGGGAAAGAGGGGAGTGCTGAGTTGGGGTTGAGTATGAGCTGTAATTGCAGCTTTGGAACCAAGGTAAGGTGGGAAAAAGGCACAGAATTTTCCTGATTTTCTGTTGCTTCTTTGCAAACCAATATATCATTCTGGTTACGTCAGTAACTCACATATAACACATTGCAATTTCTTCCTCTTGGGTACTAATAATGCTTATTAGCATTTTAAAGGCTCTGAGAAGTCCTGCAGTAATGAAACCATTTATTTTCGTTTAGTTCAAACTTTCTCAATTGTATTTGCCCTCAAACCCTTTTTATTATAAAGCACTATTGGTACCTTGCTACTCAAAGTTTGGTTCACAGACCAGCAGCATTGGCATCACTGGGAACTTGTTAGAACAATTCCCAGAATCTCAGGCCTTAGCCTAGAATGACTGAATTAGGATTTGCATTTAACAAGGTCACCTGGTGATTCATATGCACCTTACTTTGAGAAGCACTGTACTGATGGAACATACTTTGGGAAACGTTTTAGGAGGCTGGTGGTTGAGAGTCAATCAGAGGAGCTACTCATGAGATAGAAGGGAGATGTGTCCTGATAGAGATCCAGGGCTGTAGAACAAAATGCCAACTCCTTGGAACAGCCATCATCAAGGTGCAAGGGCAGGACTGAGACCACCTCCTTCCACCACCCTTGAGCTGCCTTTCATGACTCTTCTCCCATGCAAGGGGTCCTGGATATTCATCTTATTTATTTATTTATTTATTTATTTATTTGAGATGGAGTCTCATCCTCTCACCCAGGCTGGAGTGCAGTGGCACAGTCTCTGCTCACTGCAATCTCTGCCTCCCAACTTCAAGCAATTCTCCTGCCTCAGCCTCCCATGTAGCTGGGATTACAGGCATACACCACCATGCTAGGCTAATTTTTGTATTTTTAGTAGAGATGGGATTTCACCATGTTGGTCAGGCTGGTCTTGAACTCCTGGCTTCAAGTGTTCCTCCTACCTTGGCCTCCCAAAATTCTGGGATTATAGGCGTGAGCCACTGCACCCAGCCCTGGATATTCATTTTAATCTGATTTGATATGGGGAGTCCAAATCTAGGTTAGAAACCGTGATTCTGCCCCTAAGTAGCTGTGAGACCTGGGGCAAGTTACTTAACCTCTCCAGAATACAGTTTCCTCATTTTTAATTGAGGATCACTTGAAATAGAATGAAGCTATGTTTACTTGAGAGAGATTATTTTCAGTATATTGGGAGGTATGGTGAAGCATCCTGTGTAATTTACACAGATTCTGGTAGTCATCCTTAATTCGTCAACACTTACAATTATATTGCGAAACCTTCCATGCACCAGTGTCCTAGCAGAAATCAAACAAGACAAAGAAGTCTGGGGAAGAGTTAGCCTAAACACACCCCACATGGGTACCTTGAACCATATCTTCTACCTATTTTTGAGACGTTCTGTTTGCAGATATTTCTTTCAGCGTTTTGGCCAGCAGACACACGGTCAAACTGAGAGGGCATTCTGCTGCCGCAGAACAAGGGTTCAGGCTCCAGGATGCAGGTTCAGGCTGTGAGAGCCAGTGCAGTGTTGGAAGACCTTTCTCACACACAGAGCCTCAGGGACACACCATGCTCACCTATTCAGAACCTCGCCATTACTCAGCAGCTGACATTGCAACATCCGCTCTGAGTGGGACCACACTGCACGGGGCTTCATGAGCCTTCTCCGGTAAGCAGACGCTCTTTGCCCAATGGAGAAAGCATGTGCTTGGGTTCTGACCCCAGACTCCTCATGGTACTGTTAGCTGAGCAACAGTGTGCTGGTCGCTTCACCTCTCTGGACCTCAATTTTCTCATCTGAAAGCTGGATACAGGATTTACTGTTAGAGTCAAACAAGGTAGTATATATGCACTGTGTATTGCGATCCAGTGATGGTGAAAATTAGTAATAATAGTGTAGATCCCTTGATAACTCTTGGGAATTTTGTGCTGCCTTCTTATAATTAGAACAGCCCAACTTCTACCATACATTGGCCTATATTCTTCCTGTTTTCCTTTCTAAATGATGGAAGCCACGTTGTCTATCAACAATAGTAATTGAATTTGTGTAGCCCTTTAAGCTATGTGAAGTCTTTCACGTCCTCGGATGATCCCTGGCATGTACTTCAGATGAGCAAACAGGCTGAACATGCAACAAAGTACCTGCAAGTGAGTTTCATAATTTATTGAACCTGTCACAAGAAGGGGTGACTATTTTTCACTGGAAAATAAGCTTGTTTTAAAGAATGTAGTTTGCAAAGTACTTAGATGATGCATCTCATTTGATATTGCATGGCCTTCCATAACTTCCAAGCTGAGGCTGGGGTAGCCTGGCCCCTGGTGGGCCACTGGGTCTCTCTCTCTCTTTCTACAGACATGGGTCACAAGCCCCCGCTAAGACCAAGGCACGGAGGATCAATGAGCAAATCGGAAATTCTCTGAAAGTTCCCTTCTCTTGCAAAAAGGCCATTTGAACAAAGACTTAGGTATAACATGAGGTGTATTAAAGCATGGTAGATGTTATTGTTACTCCCGTGTGCTAGTTCTGTGTAAAATCCATATGCCATCCCAGCTTACCCTCACAATACATCTGTGAGACAGGTACCTTGCCTGAGGGGAGGAGAGCCCAGGTTCTGGAGGGGCATCTGGGTGAAGCAACACGTCATCCTCTACATGGATGTGTTTGAATTGGACATGAAGCCTCACGGCAGAATCGAGGAAACTGATAGAAAGTAACTGGCCCTGAGGTCACTGAGCTCTTAATAGTAAGCATGGAGCCAGAATCTGGACTCGTTTCTGACTCTGAACTTCCATGTGTGTGTCACCAGCCCAGGCTGAATCCTGCACATACGAGGAAATCATGGCCTCGACTCTCCTGGCAACTTTCCCAATCTCAGAGTCTCAAGGCCACTGAGGCTGACATGTGAATCCCAGTCTTGCTGTTTTCCCTGCCTCCGCTGCCTATGGTCTTGACCATGTTATCATACTTAAGCCTCCCGGGCTGCCTTCATATCCAATTCAAACACAACCATGTAGTGGATGACATATTGCTTCACCCGGATGCCCCTCCAGGACCCGGGCTCTCATTCCCTTAGCTGGGGTTGTGACTGAGTCCCTCTCTTAAGGTCAAGCCCCTTGCCCGGGAGCAGCAAGCTCCCGAGGGGATTTGTCAGTGTGGGAGTTCAAAGGCCCAACCCCGATTGCTTCTAGTAGCACACTCAACCGGGCTCCAGGGTCCCTGAGGGATCGCCTAAGGCCTCTGTTACCACTGCACCTGGGAGCTTCCCCTACACCCCAGAGGTGTTGATCCTGAGAGCAGCCCCAATCAAACTCCTACCCCCAAATCTCAGCAGCTCACAGACTCCATCCCAGGAATCTGCCCTAGTAATACATTGTTTCCTAAACAGGCAAAGCACTTCTCTTACAAACACTGAGCAATATTTTTAGAATCAAGCTTAAATGATCATTGTCTTTCCCAATATCAAATAATAAGTCATATTGGCAGAGGCCTTCAGCCAGGACTTATTCAGCCAGAGACTGGACAGAAACTGAAAGCAGGGGAAGCCTTGGGGAACGGAAGCATCAGACCAGGCAGTGTGGACAAGATGATCTTGATCTCTCTCAGCTTGATCTAATGATGATTCTATCACCTTAGGCATCAGAGAGGGTAAGTGACTTGCCCAGGGTCACACAGCATCATGACAGGTTCTAGAAAAATCCACAGCTGCTGATGCCCAGAGCCTGTTCACATTCCAGGTGGCTTTCATCAGCCTAGACTTATCTCTAGTTGTATACACACACTTCTGAAGTTGCTATGGAAATCTCTCTACAGCAAGATGTATTTTAAAAGACAGTTCTCATATCTTGGGTTGGTTTTTATGTGACAGCAAAGGTTTTTCATATTTCCTCCTCCCAAGGAGAGAGTGGGATCGTAATTACACAGAACAGCCGTGCCATGGGGAGGGCAGTGCCTGGTTGCTGGGAGGGCAGTGACAACAGCGGGCTTGTTTTCCTTGCCCCCAGAGAGGCATTACATCATGGGTTCTGAGGCCTGACAGTTGTGGCACTCCGCATTCTCTGGGATTCTCCTGGCTGCCTGCCCACCTCCCACAGGCCTCTCAGGGAGGAACCTCCTGATTATACACTGTCAAGCGCTAAGCAGCCTTACTGGTGGAGAGACCATCTGAGGCCCCAGGTCCTCACTGCGGCAGCAGGTTGGAGAAGCCAGCTTTCCTAGCGTGCCTTGAGCAGTGGCCTGCCAGCTCACCTTCATATGCTTATCTCCTTGGGAGGAGCAACAAGGCTTCCCATAGCGTTGATGAAGTGGGGTAAGCTTTGCCGTCAGAGCCATGCTTTGTAAATGACCCTCCTGGCCTCTTGAGTGGATTCCCTTCGGACCCTTTGGACCCTTTGCTTTGGTCCCTCCTGAGGCTCCAAATTCTGCAACAGGCTGTCTCAGTGTCCCAGGTCTTCAGTCTGTCAACAGGTTTTTGATTGTGGTGATTAACTTTTGGCATACTGATATTTTAATGAGAAATTTTATTCTGGAGACCTAGCTCCTAAAGCAGGAGAAAAACAATTTGTGATCCGTTCTTTCTCTCATTAAAGAGCCACCACTCCCATTGTAAGGAGGTAAAAAGAGGCTTCCTTCCTGTGCCCTCTTCTGCCCGTGCCTCAGACACCCAGGTTTGCACTTGCCAGCAGCAGGAAGCAAGACCACAGTTCCCTCCTCCTTCAATCACCTTCCCATGACCTCCTACCCCCTCCAAGAAGGGGTACTTCCACTCCAAGGGAACAGTAGGAATGGCCGGGCACTGTGGCTCGCGCCTGTAATCCCAGC